TTTCTGTTAGCTCCTTCCTAAAATGAAATGTGTTTTTGTGAAATACGATCAACTTTAATTATAATACAAGCATCTGTTGGTTAAATGTGGTAAAACAATGCTTATTTGTTAGTTGAAGTTATTTAGAATACTAACTAATTTAATATCCCTGGTTGTTCTGAAGTTAAATAGTCTCGCGTCAGTGTTCAAATTAAAATTATGTTTAGCTCTGAGTTATTCTTGATCTTTGTATTTTGTTTTTTATGTTTGGCCAGAAAATACCTTTTTAACCCGATGTTTTCTTCCGTGGAGAATTTATATAGGAAGCCCCTGCAGAATTATGTGGTTGAGTTAGTTTTAAAGCTGGAAGTAGTTTGTTCTTTGTGGCTCCCTTCCTCATCACTCATCAGGCAGATCTTTTTAATGTCAACTAGATGAACTATTTCATTTGTCAACATCATGCAGGTATCTGCTGAAAGGAAAAATGATACTGGAAAAGAAAATGTATCTCAGGAGGGGAAGTCATCTCGAAAGAAGCAAAGAAACTCTGGACTGTTGAGACCCGTAAGTATGACCTCACATCACTGATCTTATAATATGCTACCCTGATATGACTGTGCTATATGCAGGTCATATGCATTTGTAATGATCTATATACGCCAGCCTTAAGGCCATTACGTCAGGTGGCAAAGTAAGATCCTTGTAGATTTGATACTTAACTTTGATAAATGTGGAATCATTGTCAGCTATCCTGGATGACATATTACGGCTAAATTAGTACAATGTGTGTTTTTTTTTTTTTTTTTTTTTTTTTTTTTTTTTTTTTTTTTAATCTTTGTGGACTATCTGTTAAAAATAAATTTTAAACAGGAATATGGACATTTTACCTGCCAAGTGTGGTTAATGCGAAAAAAGAAGCATATCCCAACATTTTATTCCCCACGGATAACAGATAGACTGACAACGGAGCAGATTCATGTGATATTTACTAATAAAATTCGTAAGGTGGGCAGGGAGATGCTGATTACATTAGGAAAACTGATATCTGTAAAACTGTGTACTCAGATATCTATGATATTCCAGTGAGAAGCATGTTAAAATTTGTAGTGACACTCTGTATGATGGCTCCATGACTTATCTCTTGGTAGGCTGTCGGATTTTGGGTGTTGGATCCAATAGAAATACAGCTGAAATGTATTATATCTCTTTGGTGTCAGTTAGATATTTCAACAAGCCTTACTCATATTATCTTTTGCCTTACATTGCAGGGTACACATTTTTGTCCAACCAAGTGTGAGTCGTGTTGTAAATAGGTAAGATATCCTTTTTGAATAGTTCAATGATCAGTTGGTCTTTCTTACTGTTTACTTTTGCTGGCTTCACTCAATATGACTGCTTATGGTTGGTACCAGTTTTGTGAAGGAAATTTTACTCTATTGAGGTGATCTATATATGAACATTATAATTGATAAAGCTATTTATTGGTAAAGTGCATCTCTTGATAATGGAATCATCAGTCACGTGTACTTGGTTTTCCCATTTAGTTACATGAAGTAATAGATCTATATTATTGTTTATTAGAATAAACATCTTTGTATCATTTGCATGAAAAGTACTTCTACTTTCTCCTTCGAAATCATTTTCTTTTTCCAATTTTCCCCTTCTAATTTGTATATTTTATAAAACCTAGGAATTTGATACCCAATGTTAAAAATTAGTGGTGCTAACAACTTTACTTACTAATTCTAAACGTTATTTTCATGTAGTTTGGTTTCATATACCCTTTAGTACTGCACAGAAACCACTATTGCCTCATTTAGTCATTTTACTCTCTTGAAATTAATTTTTCTTAGTCTCTTGTTCATCAAGGCCATTGTATTCTGCCTATATGAACTTTTTATCAAAGCCTCCTCCATGCCCTAAGTTAAGTATGTAACTGTGTAATGATAGGTTAAAGTATATATGCAAGAAAGAAGGAGTGAAGACAAGTTCCATAGCTCTTTCTGCACTTGCAGAATATACCGGTACGTCTTGCTTCATTTATAGTCCGAATGCATGTCTCAAATGCCTAATATAAGGTTCTCAAGATACATAAGTGTAATTTGGTGACACGAAACAGAAAATTATAACCATTTTTATATGTTACACCGTACAATTTACATTGGGCTAGCTACTATAATCCATGCTTTGGTGCGCCGATATGATATTGATTGATCGTATGACTACTCTACATGTGAGTGACAAGTGAGACATATAAAGGTTAAATAGAAAAAGCTCGTAATTCGTTTGCATGGACCAAATGCCAACTACCGTTTGGTATACAATACATCTGACATAAAAAAATAATTAGTGTTAGAAGTTGTAAACATGAACTAATGGGACTAAACTTTCATATATTTTAAAGATAGACTGCCATTAGACTTCAATCTGATAAACTCAAGCAAAGCTTATCAAATGTTAATTTTCCCAAAGGCAGGCATCTTGTTAAGATCAGGCCCTCTGGATCTAGTTACAGGACCTGAACATTGAAATCTGATTGTTGATTACTAGAAGTTTGAGTTTTTTCTTCTCTTATAACCTATTTTGATTATGATTTTGGGCTCAGAGAGAACCCAACAATCTCCAAGAGTTTTAAGACTCAAGAACTTTTTATAAGAAATTCCACACTTTTCTTATTTCTTAAATCAGCACTTAAACTTATAGAAATAACTGCTTCTAAACTGCTTCCTAAGTTTTAGCAGTTTGATTTATTCATAACCAACAGGCAACAGGTGCCAATAACCTACACAATACATATGCATAATATTCTGCCTTATAAACACCTGGCAGAAACTAACTAACAGTCACACTAACATTAGTAAAATATCATAACACAGGATTTTCCAAACTTAATTCTTCTTTGATCTTCGCTGGTAAACTTTGAATGGTAGAACTTTAGCTGCTGACTTGGATCATAACATCACTTCCTCCCTTTGAAGAGCGTTTGTCCTCAAGCGCAAATTGAGGATAACGAAGCTGCATATGCTCTGCAGATTCCCAAGAAGCATCAGCGGGAGAAAGTCCTTCCCAATGAATGAGAATCTCCTTTACGCCATCCTTAATTCTCGAATCCAACATAGCTTGAGAAGTTAGAATAGGAACACCCTTTTGAAGAAGAGGTAATGTAGAAGAACAAGTTTTAGTACCATGGAACTTCTTCAAACAAGAAACATGAAACACAGGATGAAGTTTAGAGCCTTCAGGAAGCTGCAGTTTGTAAGCCACCAAACCAATTCGACCAATAATAGGAAAAGGCCCATAAAAACGAAGAGCTAATTTCTGATTTCGCTTAAACCCCACTGAAACTGACTACGAATCCTCCACCAAGAAATGGGTAATACCCCATCCCCTCTCCTCAGATGCCTTTCTTTGCTGACGATAAGGCTGAAGCTTTAAAAGCACCATGTCCCCAACATCAAAAGACACATCCTATGTTGAGAATCATAATAAGTCTTCATAACATTTTGGGCATGAAGTAGACGTTCCCTCAGCTCTTGTAAAACCACATCCCTAGCACGCAACTCATAATCCACAGCCTGAATTCGAGATAATTCTGGAGAATAAGATAATAGACGAGGTGGTTGTCGTCCATAGACAACTTCAAAAGGAGTGGCACGAAGAGAGGAGTGGAAGCTTGTATTATAACAATATTCAGCCCAAGACACCCAATCGACCCAACCTTTGGGACGGTCACCTGTAAAGCAACGCAAATACATCTCCACTGTACGATTGACCACTTCAGTCTGGCCATCTGATTGAGGGTGGTAAGCAGAGCTAAAAGACAACTTGGTGCCACTAAGCCGAAATAATTCCTTCCAAAAAGAACTAGTAAATGTGACATCACGATCACTCACAATAGATTCTGGAATCCCATGTAACTTAACAATACGATCAAAGAACAACCTCGCTAGCGAAACAGCAGTATAAGGGTGAGATAACGGATGGAAATGAGCATACTTTGAAAATCTATCAACAACCACCAATAAGACAGATTTCCCGTGAGAAAGTGGCAACCCTTCAACAAAATCTAAAGAGATGTCAGACCAAACCTGAACTGGAACTGGAAGTGGCTGCAATAAACCTGCTGGTTGGAGGTGTTCAACTTTATTTTTCTGACAAACTGAACAAGTACGCACAAAATTACGAACTTGCTCCTTCATTCCTTTCCAATAAAATTCAGAAGCAAGACGCCTCAAAGCTTTCTGATATCCCTCATGTGCCTGGTGATGAATGGCAGATATGAGAGCCTCCCGGAAAGGGGAATCTGGAGGAAGAAAAATTCTGCCTTTGTAGATAAGGAGTCCATCTTTTGAAAGACTAAAAATCCTTCAATTCTCCATTTAAAATCTGATCACGAAGCTGCTGTAAGGCAATAGAAGAATGAATTGCAGCCTTAATATCCTCCAAATAATCCAATTGAGGAGTAGAAATTGCAGCAAGAACAGCAGAATTTTCATACTGGCGAGACAATGCATCAGCAACAACGTTTTCGCGCCCTGCTCGATACTCAACACTAAAATCAAACCCCATTAATTTGCTCAGCCAATGTTGTTGAGGAGAAGTTATAATACGTTGCTCTAACAAAAATTTCAACGTTCGAATTATAAAACTCCTTCCCCATAAATAAGGTCTCCAATGTTGTATTGCTTTGGCCAACCCAACCAATTCTTTCTCGTAAGCAGGAAGTTTGACATGCCTGGCAGCCAATGAGCGAGAAAAATAAGCGATGGGCCTATTTTGTTGTTGTAGCACTGTTCCTAACCCCGCATCAGATGCATCACATTCAACAATAAATGGTTGAGAGAAGTCTGGTAAAGCCAACACCGGTGTTGAGGCCATTGCCACTCGAAGAGCATCAAAGGCAGCCTTGGATTTATCTGTCCAAACAAAAGCATTTTTCCGCAACATAGAAGTCAAAGGAGCTGCAATTAAACCATAATCTTTCACGAACTTACGATAGTAACCAGTTAATCCCAAAAAACCCCTCAATGCCTTGACAGAATTAGGTAAAGGCCACTCCAACATAGCACTTACTTTACTAGAGTCAGCAGAAACCCCTTGTTCAGAGATGATATGACCCAAATAGGAAACTTGCAACTGAGCAAAACTGCACTTAGATTGCTTTAAGAAAAGATTATGACTTAGAAGAGTAGAGAAAACTGCCCGTAAGTGTTGAATGTGTTCTACCCAAGTTCGACTATAGATGAATATGTCATCAAAGAAGACAAGAACGAACTTCCTCAAATATGGCTTGAAAATTGAATTCATAAGAGCATGATTGGATACAAGTTCAATCCAATTTTTTTTTTCATTTTTAACTCAACCACTTTTTTTAACTCAACTTTAACTCAACCCACTATCATTAATATTATCAATATAATTAAATAATATCAATCAATCATTCTTACACACAACATCAACCTTAATTCACTATTCATCTACTCACATAAATTTAACTAACTATCACATCATATCTTCTCTCTCTTACTTTTACATCAATTTAATTTTAATCATTTTATTTTAATATTATTTTATTATATCCACTAACAACTAACCATACCTACTTTATCAAATTTAACCAACTCAAATCAAAAATCCAATCAAAACAAAAACAAATTTATATCCAATCATGCTCTACGGGCTTGAAACGCAGAAGGGGCGTTTGTCAACCCAAAAGGCATAACAAGAAATTCAAAATGCCCGTGATGAGTCCGGAAAGCAGTCTTTTCTGCATCATTCGGATACATTCGAATTTGATGGTAACCAGAACGCAAGTCCAGCTTTGTGAAAAATTTAGCCCCATGAAGTTCTTCCAACAGCTCTTCAATTACTGGAATTGGAATCTTGTCTTTGATCGTCTTGGCATTCAAAGCGCGATAATCCACACAAAATCGCCAAGTTGCATCAGCTTTCTTGACTAATAATACCGGTGAAGAAAAAGGAGACTGACTAGGTTGAATCACTCCCTTATCTAACATCTTCTGACACTGCTTCTCAATTTCATCTTTTTGCAAATGGGGATATCTGTATGGTCGAACAACCACAGGTGAAGAATCTGGCCTCCAATAAAATACGATGGTCACAATCACGTGTTGGAGGTAATCCCTTTAGTTCCTGAAATAGGCCTTGAAATTATGCTAACAACCTTTGCAATTCAGAATCCCTGTCTATCGAAACAACTGATGAAGAAAATACCTTAGGAAAAACAATACGTGATTCTCTTTCCCCATTTAATTCTATGAGTTGCCCACCCTTAATAAAACTCATTCTCATCAAGTTGACATCCCATGTGATGGGCCCTAAGGTTTGTAGCCAATTAACCTCCAAAACAGCACCCAAGCCCGGCAAGGATAATAGCAATAAATCAAGAGTAAAAACAGAGTTACCCATAAGAATTGCCCCACCACGACAGATTCCTTCAGAATAGACTCGTTCCCCATTTGCCACCATGACTCTGAGTTCCTCCTTGTGCTCAATCTGCAAATTCAATTCCTTTGCCAAAGTAGCATCCAAGAAACTATGGGTGCTTCCTAAATCAATTAACAAAATCAGTGGGTACCCGTTCAACGAACCCCTTATCTGCATTGTTCGTGAAGATGGTGTTCCCGTGATAGCATGAATGAAATTTCCGCATCTTCTAAACTATTCAGTGTTACTCCTTCATTCTGACCATTATCTTCCAAAACCTCAAGCCAAAAGAGTTTCTTGCAACGATGTCCAGGAGTGAAACGCTCATCACAATTAAAACAAAGTCCCCTTGCTTTTCTGTCCTCCAATTCGGCTTGACTTAGTTTCTTCACAAAAGGAGAACGCAACTGAACAGGACCAGTTCGTCTCACGGAGGAAGATTCACCTTTGTTGCGATTACCCCGTCTTTCATATAAACGGGCTAGACTCATGGCACTGGTAAGGTCTGGTGGTTGGTGCAACTCCACTTCAACAGCGATATATTCTTGTAACCCGCTAATAAAAATCTGCACTTTTTGATCCATCAACAATGAACTTGCCCGGGCAGATAATTGTTCAAATTGGCGTTGATAATCTTCAACCGACCCTATCTGTCGCAACTTCACCAATTCTCCCAACTTATTACTTCGAACGGGTGGACCGAATCGCAAATTACATTGTCTCTTGAAATCTTCCCAAGTAATTGTCGGTCTGTCACTTTCCACCTTTAAGAACCACAATTGGCATCTCCCTCAAGATGGAAGGAAGCTAACCCAACCTTTTCTTCTGCTGGGGTATTTTGATGTCTGAAGAAATGCTCACACCTATTAATCCAACCCAAGGGGTCTATGGAACCATCATATTTTGGGAAATCCAGTTTTGTATACTTAGGAACAAAAGCGGCTGCTTCAGTTGTCTCTCCCATTGTCCTCCTTTCACGTCGACCTCTATTAACACTTCCTTCGCCTCCCTCAGCACGTCCTTCAGGCCTTCCCGTGGACAATTCCCGTGACAATTCATCTAATCGTCTGGCTAGTGCTTGTTGCTGTGCTGCCATCAGTGCACGGTCTTGGTCTCGTTCCTGACGATCTCGATCTCTATTTTCCTCATACATCTTGAGGAAAGTCTCAAATTGCTGCTGAAAGGAACGGAAATCTCCCATAACAACCTGCTCTGATACCAATTTGTTAAGATCAGGCCCTCTGGATCTAGTTACAAGACCCTGAACATTGAAATCTGATTGTTGATTACTAGAAGTTTGAGTTTTTCTTCCCTTATAACCTATTTTGATTATGATTTTGGGCTCGTTAGAGAGAACCCAACGATCTCCAAGAGTTTTAAGACTCAAGAACTTTTTATCAGAAATTCCACACTTTTCTTATTTCTTAAATCAGTACTTAAACTTACAGAAATAACTGCTTCTAAATTTAGGAAATAAACTTACAGAAATAAACTTACAGAAATAACTTAGGAAGCAATTTAGAAGCAGTTATTTCTGTAAGTTTAAGTACTGATTTAAGAAATAAGAAAAGTGTGGAATTTCTGATAAAAAGTTCTTGAGTCTTAAAACTTATATATATATATATAACCAACAGGCAACAGGTACCAATAACCTACACAATACATATGCATAATATTCTGTCTTATAAACACCTGGCAGAAACTAACTAACAGTCACACTAAAACATTAGTAAAATATCATAACACAGGATTGTCCAAACTTAATTCTTCTTTGATCTTCGCTGGTAAACTTTGAATGGTAGAACTTTAGCTGCTGACTGATCTTGGATCATAACACATCTCCAAACATCGAAATGACAAAGTGGTTGAATGTTTATAAATCCTTTTTTTCTAATCCTTTTCCTCAGAATGCGATATAAGGTCATGTTTGAATACGCTTCAGTTTCTCAACAAGAAGAAGGAACTGCTCAATGTGGTACTGTTTCAACCCTACTATCTTTGTCATCTATGAATCGATAATCATTTGTTCTATACAAACTGTAAACTTCTGAGCCTGATGGTTACCATCTACGAAGCATAGTTGTTTATCACAACAATAAATGTTGTATTCATGTCCATAATATATATGTAAAAATATGTGTGTATAGTTACGTACTCGATGTGATATCATCTTAAACTAAAAGGAATCACTTATTTGAATTACACAATTTTTCGTTGTTTAGTTGGAGATAAGTTCTCAGGTGGTTGGTCAGAAGGATGCGTCTAAGAGTGCTTTTGATATATGGAAAGAGGTGAAATCAAGAAATAATTTATTACAGTTTCTCACATATCATACCCTTTCAACATTATCCTCACTTTCTTATTTCTTCTTTGTATAAAGATCTTCCAAAACAGAAAGAAGAAACAGGGAAGAAAATGTAGTGAATGGGGCAGCAGCATGTCCAAAGAGTTCGAGTTTCTTTACTCTATGATTTCTAACCGGTAGGTTTAAAATTGCTTTTCTGTCCTCAATTATCCAAGTCTTAGGTCATATATTTATTTTACCACTACTATCTCAGGGGCGACTATGATTTAATATTGGATGGGATTCACGAAAATATTTTGCAGCTTCGTTATGTTGATCCCATGATGCAAAAGACAGTAAGTATTAGTTGGATAGTCTGGTAATTAATTGGTGTCTGAACAGCCTCAACAAAAAAAATGACCTATTGTTCTTCAAGGTGCAATGTTTGGATAGTCTGGTAATTTCTGATATCACTCATCGTTACATAATGCGGACACAGAAAATGTTTCTTCAAGGTACTATTGGTCTAGCCTTTTGCATTGAGTTCCCTTATTATGATGCATATCTGATTCTAAATTTTGTTTGAATTGCTTCACAAAGTCTATCAGCCTCCCATTGCAATATTTATACGTAGTCTGGTAGCACAACTGGAGAAAAAAGACATTGAGTGGCCAAAGTCTTTCCAGAGGTATAATTTGTACTCATTATTGACATTGTTTTCCCTTGTTGCTTTGTGTTTCTTCACCTAATTCTCAATCATCTCGTCAGACACCGGACAGTTTTGGCAGAAAGGATGGACGTGTTTCGTACATGGTACAGCAGAATATCACCAAATATTTCAAGGCACCTGTCAACAAAATCTTTTGTGGAAGACTCAATTTCGCTGATGTTGCATATTATGTCACCGTCAACACTAAGACCGGTAGTTTATTGTGTTTAAGACTTTTTATACTCCGTTCACTTAAACCATTTTCTGTTCCATTTCAAGATAGAAAGATGTTGAGAGATAAAACATGGCTTTGCCTTTACATGTATTTTCAAGTTCAACATAGTTGGGAACAATATGGGGTTTGCACAATCTCTAGTTTTTCCATTTACAACAGTTCACATCATGCAGCTTCTATTTCTTTGGTTTCCAGTAGCATATCGTTACAAATGCATTCTCCATTTTCAGGTGGCGTTGCATTTGCTTTCAGATAATGAGAAGAGAGATCTAGGGAAGCTAGTAAATAACATGGTCGCATATGCTATAACCTACAAAAATATCCAAGCGGATCGTAGTTTAAAACATGAAGATACTTTGGATGCGACGAGGCTTTCATTTGATCCACCCTTAGGTGAATTTATAGACTTCAAGGTTAGTACATAAGCAGTATATTTCAACCTTTACCGGTGATATCAAACCTTTGCTTGTGAAAGTATGTTACACATTATATTATTTCTTATGAGCAGGGTTACAAATCAGATCATTTTGATCTTGCCTTGGCGGTGAAGCAGGTCTTGGTTCATGAGGTAAGTTATTGAAGCTTTAAGCTCATGTGTTATGTTTACTTTTCTATTTCATGGCCACTGATATGCATCTGTGTAGGCATCGTCAAATTTTTAGTTGGTAGGTTGTCCATTCGAAATTGAATGCATCTAAAATCTAATGTGATATTACTAAGTTTGACAGCATTCGGAGACTGATGTTTTATGATGATCTGCAGGTTGAAAAGCAAAAGATTCTGAAAGGTAGCCTCTCTAGATCTGCTGATCTGCTGATGCATGAGAATCATGCCTCAGTACAGAAAGGCATTGGAATTGAAGCATCATCCAAATCAAGTTATGCAAATGGATCTGCTGTAAAGAAAATAAATGGAAAAAGTCCAACTAATCAGAAATCTGGACTTTCTATCTCTTCAAATTCGCCACTTGTGGAGTCTGGCAATGCTGCTGCTGCTGATAAAGCAAAATCAGTTGAACGAACAAAAAAGCCTTCTGGGAGCCTGCTCAATTTCATTGAAAGGCATGAGTGTGATACTTTTTATCCATGTTATATTGTTCATATTTCTGTGTCTCTGTATTATAGGGAAGATAATTAAAAAAGAAAACTCCATTACATATATAAGCATGAAATTCTTTAATTTCTTTTGAATTTAACCGTTTTTGCCTGTTTCTAGATAAATGTATAGTACCTTCGCTAAGTGCATTGTCATTTAAATCTGCATATTTTAATCTCTTGTTATATTCTTCTTTGGAGTTGCCCTTCCAGTCTATCTGACTATGTGCTTAGCTTCAGAAGATCCACGCAACTTACTTTTAGGGGATTTAAGTGATCTTGTGAGCTATTTTTCTTTTATTTAAATTCAACAAAAAATGGTACTTTGACATAAAATGATGTGTTGGTTTAGTGATTGTTGGCTTCAAAGACGAGTGATGTGCAAAACAGCTTGATTTTGTTACATTAATATTATGCTTAAGCGTATGTCCGCTAGATGGTTGAATTCTATGTGTTCTCCAGTACATCATTTTTACAGAAACTTTCATTTGAATGATAATTACTTTTTAATACTAAATTTTGTTTTTTCTATCTCAAAACTGCTTTGGTGGGATCTTAAACAGGTTTAGAAATGTCAGCGATGGAGTTTCTCAACCTATGCACAGTGCCATGGCGAAGCCTAAGATGGCAAAGAGAGATTCCCACCCTTTATTGTTTAAATTCAATGAGGTATGGAGTAGTGGCTTTTCTGTTTTGCATTTAGGGGTCCAGTGGATATTAAAAGTTCAGAAAATTTTGTCTCAAGGTGAAAAAATGTTGAAGAAGAAACATATTTTAGATTATCAATGGATGCAAGATAAACATGTAATAGTTAAAGTATAGATAATATAAAAATAGTAGAGTATTGATTGGTAGTTAGAAATATGAATAGGCGAATAGTGTTTTGTTGTTGGAAATGTGTAGTAATGATTGATATTATTTTCAGGTTGTGTGATAAGTAGACTGAAGAGAGAAAAGTGAATGAATGAAAAGTGTATTCTCTGAAATTTTTTTCTATTATATCACAATGTCAATGGAAAAGAACAACGTTTGGCTAAAGAATCTAAAAATTTTGAATATCATTCCGTCACCTTAATTAATAATTATTATTTTTATTTATTTATGGATGTTCACTTCATTTATCACATTTTACAAGTAAAGATGTACATTTGTATGATGATAAGCCTATTCCCAATTTTGATTTCTTTCGTTTGATCCATGCAGGGATTCACAAATGCAGTTAAAAGACCTGTACGTATGCGAGAATTCCTCCTGTGATCTTTTTATCACTCCAGATATGTGTGAGATACTTTAGCTTATTTGAACAGCCTTAACAATTTTACATTTCACCTTCATGGAATAATTATATGTAGCTGCTTTTCTTTTCCTGTGTTTGAAACACATTCATCTTTCTTCTCTTCTATAAAAAATAGGTGTGGTTTTGTAAAAAATGCATTGAATAAAACGTTATTATACTTGTTAGTTGTTATATTGTTTAAAGCAAAATTCTAAGTATAATTAGAAACCCCAATCTAATAGGAATCTATCCAAATTAATTCCTTTTTTTTCCTCATCTAACTTTTATGACAAAAGTAATCTGTGATTACAAAGATGAATCTTACCTGTCAAAACTTTGAATATTGGAATTGGCACGACTTTTGGATGTTATGTGTGTGCACTTGGCTTCAGTGAACGGTGACTTTTATTTATTAGAAAGTTTGTGATGGCATATTTAGGGTGTGCATATAAAAAAATTCAATGCATATTCAATTCATATTTAAAATTTATCTGAACGTTAACTCAACTCCATTATTCTTAATACTAGTATTATAATTAAATAATACCATCTAATTATTTTTATACATCACATCAATTTTAATTTACTATTCATTCTCTCATATAATTTTAACTAACCATCACTTCACACTATTTCTCTCATATTTTTACATTAAAGTAAATTTAATTATTTTATTTTAAATTCCACTAACAACTAACCATATAATTTTGTTTTCAAAATTAACTTTTGCTAAGCAAACAACTCATTTTGAGCAGATTTTTTTTTTGTATACAAACATGCTAGGTTTCATATATTTTCTATTTTCTCATTTTCTAATAGCTAGATTAATCAGCAAAAAAATTGAAAAGTATTTCTAAAATATCAGTCGCCATGTGTTTGTTTATAAATATTTTCAATTCATGGTCAACTCATGGTCAAAATCTAATTCAACTTTATGTCAATTATACTATCTTCAATATGATTAATATAATTAAATAATATCAAACAATCATTCTTAACATTACATCAACTTTAATTCATTGTCCATCCACTCACAATAATATAACAAATCATCACTTCACATCATTTCTCCTACTTTTATATCAAATCAATTTTAATTATTTTTTTATATTATTTCAATAAAAACTCAAAATCCTACTAACAAGTAACAACTAACAATACCATTGTTTTCCAAAACTAATCATAGTTAAAAAAAAAAAATCATTCTAAACTAATATATTTGTATCAAACACGAGTGTCAGCCTCTCTCCTTTGGACCTATGGTGGTGGTCATACGGAATCTTTATACCCAATTTTATTAGGCATTAGCTGGAAGAAGATTGATAAGAATTTTGTGAACGAATTGGAATAGATATCTCTACGAAATTTACTTTCAATACAAGCAATACAAAGGTATGCAAGTGTAAATAAAAATAACGAGTAGAAAACTAAAATTCATAGCTATTCCATCTGTCTTATATTATTATATAAAGGGGGAGTTTACTTAAAAAAATTTCATTGTCTAAAGTCCTAGAATTTAAAATATTTTTCATGAAAAAGTTATAAATATTATTGTAGCGGCTTCTTACTTATCTTTAGAAAACGCTGCGATTTCAGAAATAATTTGAACCTTTTAAAACTTTTCAACTTTGAAACTTTTCTCGGCCACTACTGAAAACTCTTTTTTTTTTAAAAAAAAAATCTAATATACTTTCCTTTTCTTTCTTTTTTTCCTTTCTTTTCTTTAACTTTCCAAACGAGTTTCATATAACGATAAAGAAACTAGGGAGTCGGAGATGATCGTTCTCGATTCGGACGTAAATATCAAGCAAATGATCGTTTGGTTAGATGATTGTATCAACCTACACGTCTAGAGATTTAACCTCAATAACTTTTCTTAATAAGAGGATAAACATGAACGAAAAATCAAGCAAATCAAACAACATTAATTAGACTTTTATTATATTACAGATTTGCCTCAAGTGTAAAATTTGAATAAAAGAAACTTGAAGAAATTGCAATTAAGCCCCTACAACATATCAAATTTCCAAACAATAACCCCACAATTCAAAAATACAATTTTAGCAGGTCACCCCGTCCACCTCCGCGGGAGCTCACCCCCCGAAGTTCCAGTCACCGTCAATATGATCGCCCGTTGTCGTATTCATCGCCCGATACTTAACGCTGCTACAGCCCGCCGCTATGAGCTTGACGACTTCATCTGCGCAAANTAAAAAAAAAAAAAAAAAAAAAAAAAGAAAGAAAGAAAAAAAGCAAATCGGTCATTTAATTCTTACATAGCGTCGCCACCTTTGTGCGGGGTACGGTAAAGATTGGGGTGGCGACGCGGCTGCGGGAGCAGTAATAAACGACGCTGAAGGTTTGACGGTTGGTGTCGCCAGAGGTGGCGATCTTCTTCTCGCTATCGGATCTGAGCATCGAGGTCATAGGTGTAATCTTTCGCTCAATACTAGAATCGAGCACCTGCCAGGCGGAGGTAAGTTTTGGTCCGCTTCTCTTCGTTCGTTGGGTCCATGTAATTGAGTTGAGGAAGCGAAGCGCGATTAAGAAGATATACAAGACGGCGACGACGCGGTGGCGGCAGGTAGCGATAAACGACAGTTGGGCGAGGACGACCAAACAACTGTCGGGCAAGGTCGACCACACAGGCCACTTGATGCCGGAATCGGAGTGTAACGCTCCGAATATTTTTAGTAATGATGAGCTAGATTTTTGTTCCCAATTATAGCAAGTTTTATTTATTTCAAGTCTTATTTTTATTTGATGCATTTATATTATTATTTGCATTAGATTTAATTATTATTATTTGCATTAGATTGAGTAATAAATTCTAAGTCTAAGCTATGGAGGATCCGTTCGATTTTTAATTCTAAAAATCAAATTATTCTAGCCTAAGTATCAGTTTCATTTTTAATTTGAAACTGAACGGTAGAAAATAATAATAATAATGATAATAATAATAATAATAATAATAATAATAATAATAATAATAATAATATAGAACCTCACGACCCAATGGCCGAGTCCAATTTTAATTGTCGAGCAAGCAAGCTCGGCCCATTGCCGAGCCCAAGCCCATTAAGCCGAATGCCGAGCCCAACATTTCGGTCCATTTTTCTAGCCACGGCCCGAGGCCCAATTTTTGGGCCCATTTCCGAGCCCAAGCATTTTTCCTTGAGGCCCAACTATAGTAAATAAGGCCCAAGTCTTCCTTTAATTCATTAGCCCAACTCAAGACACTAAGGTTTTTTAGCAAGTCTTCAAATTCAAATGCAAGACCAAACATTAAACGCTCACCTAACAAATTTGTACTATAGGGGACAAGCCGCCTACAGTGTCCCCTCCAAACCCTAATTTCATGTGTGTATATATATATATGAGGCATTCCACTCCTCTTCATTTTTCCCCTTCATTTTCCCAACATTCCTACACTCAAGCAATATATTTTCCTAGCACAAAATATGTCTAAGTCCTAAATTCCTTAGCCTTCACTTAAGTAAAAATCAGTCCTCTCACATAATCGAGCCTAGATCCGGCCAACCGAGCCTCACCCGAGCTAGCCGTACCTTCCGAGCCCAAGGTCCCAGTTCCTTCGCGTCCAAGCAGCCACGCACGCCCTGGATCCAGCGCATTCAAGCCAAGACCGAGACGCCACCTTGTCGAGCCACACGTCTGAGAATCACCAAAGCCACCTTCACCTTCTACTTTTGTTTTCAATCTCCAAAGGAGGTAGATCCATATAAACCCACTTCTATGGCTTAGATGTGAATTATAAAGTATTTTAAAAATATTAAATAAAGAAAAATGGAGCTAGAATGAAAGTTCTAGATTTATTGCATTTAATATGCTAAAATTCGTATCTTAAGCTATGCATGTCCAAAAATCGTGATTTAAGTTCCATAAATCTTAGAATATTGTGTAGATGCTGTGGTTTAAATTTGAGAATTTTTGGATCTGGTTTGCTATATGAACAAAAATAGTAGATCTAGATCTAAAATGGATAAATTATTTTGAACATGTTATAGATCTATTCTTGGTGAGATGGTTGTACCACAAATCTTAAATATCATGTTGAGGTTGTGTTTAAAATTTGAGGAATTTTTGAGGTCGTTTGATATGATTCAAAAATCGAGACTTTAGCCTTGAATTGGTGAATTTTTAGGGGCCTTATGTGTTGTGTTTTTACTGAGGTTGATAGATATAAAATTTTCATAAATCATGTTGAGTTTGTGGTTAAAGTCTCAATTAAAATGAGTTAGGGTGACGGGAGGACCAGAACTCTAGATCGGGCCATTTTTAGGTGTCGAGTGATTTAAAAATCCGAGCATATTTTCCAGAGTCATCATAACCTATATGAACTCTAGATTCCATAAGAAGCCTAATTAAATACGGGTTGCCGGAAAACCGTTGCCGAGTGTGTGCCCTTGCACCGAGTCCGACCGAGCTGTGCCCCTGCTCTCTGACCCTCGCCCGTGCGCCCGCCAACCTGCCAACGCACCGTGCCCCGCCAGCCGCGGTCCAGCGCACCCTTGCGCCAGTGGCCATGGCATCCTATGAACCCGAGAGACCGGCCGGTTCTCGAGTGAACCACCGATCCAATCAGCCGAATTGATCCGAGTCAGCCCGGGCGGTTCGAGAAATTTTTGTTTGGGTTTTTCGGTTCAAGTGTGAGCCGGAACTTAAGCATTTTTTCGAACCGAATCAGAACCAGTCAAGTTTGAAAATTTAGTTCTGGTTTGAGCGTGAACTGAGACTTAAGCCTTTTTTCTAAGCCGAGTCAGTTCAAGTTTAGGTCAGATAATTTGTTCCGGATTTATTAATCTTCCGAGAACCCTAGACATCCTTAGGGTAGAAATTGTTCAACTTCGCTCGTTAATTTTAGTAATTCGGCGAGCCGATAAAGTCAGAATAGAAAATGAGTTTTAAATGATTTTAAAGACGAGCGAGTGAAACTAGTAAAAATCAGCTATTAAAGAACCGAGTTTTCTAGATTGAACTGCGTACTTAGCATATATTTGCTTAAATATTTTTGTAGCTTAAGGATAGTCGAGCCTCCATTAGCTACACATTATTTCCAGCATTTATCATCATCAGCTATCAGGTGAGGACCCTATACCGGGTGCTACATTTACTATACTCGCTCTTCCATATCTGAGGTATGTATGTAATAGTTTTGCTTGAGCGTGGGCAATGATGTACAGTA